TAGAAAATGGTGCTCTATAAATATCTACTCTCTAATTGAGGTAACTTTAAAATTTTTTATTATACTATTCAATTATATATATCAATGTTATTTTTGTTGGTTACCAGATTTTTTTTTTATTGCAAAATTTGTACAGAAACTTCATTTCATCCATAAATTAATGATTTTGGAGTATTTTAATGGTTGTGGAAAAATAAAGGCCGATTGTTACATTGTCGGTAAAATAGTGAGATATACTATAAAAAAATATAAATTACAAACATCAGCTTAGTCGGTAATTTACCAACGTGAAAAGTGCCCTGCAATACTATTCCGCAAGACAGTTGCAGACAACAATCTTGTCGGTAATTGATTTTATTTTACCGATGTGAAAAGCGCTTTGACAGAGTACTATTCTGGCTAGAGGGTTCAAGACATGCTTTTAGTCGGTAATTTCTAGCCATTTACTGACGTGACTTAAACCTACATCGGTAAATGAATTACCGAGCCCACTTTCACCGACAAAGTCATTTCCGACATGATCCAAATTGGAACCTTGTTTTACCGACCTGATTACCTTTATTTCCGACATGATTTCTCCTCGGTGAAATTATGAATTCTAGTAGTGGGAAAAGTGATTTTGGTGGCTCATCTACTTGTTTGTGGTGATGTATTACTTCTTTTAGTTTTTAAAAGGAGAAAAAAAAGTGCTCTCTATCTTTTTTTAAAAAAATTAATAGCAAAATCAAACTATTTGGTAACCAAAGATATATCATGCAGAATATGACAATAAATCCACTTCTAGAGCAGAAAATTTTCTCTCTCCTTTTTCTTTTCTTTTTTTCTTTTTTTTTTTTTTTTTCGGGTGAAGACAAGGCTAGTTGTTTTTTTTTTTTTTTGGTACAACTGGAGAGAAAGGAAACGAAACTACATCCTGGGAAATAGAATTCCCATAGCGTCCCCTAATAATAAGGAAGCCATGCCTGAAGGTGGGGACGGCAACAACGTCGTTCCGTTTGGTGAAGAGTGGCCCAAGGAAGCTAAGAAGTCAGCTGCTGAATTGCCCTCCCTAAGTGTATGGGATAGAAGACAAAATTCAAAAGAGGCCACAAGAGCCTTGATGTCAAGGATTAAAGCAGTGGCCAAACCATTTGGTAGACATTCAGCATGAACTGCTTGAAGAGCTGTCATCGAATCCAACTCTACCTCTAACTTACGAATGTCCAAAGAGAGACATAGAAGCAGTCCTTCTTTAAGTCCCCAAAGCTCCGCTATAAAATTAGTAGCCTTCCCAATGTTTGCTACAAAGCCGTGCACCCATTTACCTGCCGAATCACGCACTAGACCTCCTGCACTAGCTATTCTCGAACCGCTCAATCGAGAACCATCTGTGTTCAGTTTCAGCATCCCCTCCGCTGGCGGTCTCCACCGTACCCATCTCAACTTTCTGTTCGGTAGTTCAACAGAATGGATAGGAGCCAAAGATGTGTAGAATGCATGTTGGAAGATTTGAGAACAAAGAATTTGTGGCGGGGTCTGAACATGTGCGAATATGTAGTTGTTTCTGTCCTTCCATAGCAACCAAATGGCTGAGAGAAATAAGTAAGTCCAGGGAATTCTAGTGCTCGGATGAAGCTCATGCTTTGAAGCTTGAGATTGAATCCAAGGCAAGACATCAAGCCTGAAAAAATTAGCCTCCCTAACTCCCAACCACTTCCAAACTTCATGAGCATGGTGGCAGTCACACAAAATATGCCGGATTGATTCCGTCGCCCTACCACAGCGTGGGCATGTTGGGGAGTCAGCAATGTGTCGGTTAAATCTAACCTCATTGGTTAAAACTCTATCTCGAGCAATCAACCAAACAAACATTCTAATCCTTTCAGAACAACCAAGCCGCCAAATCCATTTCCAACTGGGGAGGGGAGAAGCGTCTTGATTGTCATGCCTCTGCTGCAATTGAAAAGCAGATTTTGTAGTAAAACTACCATCTGAGGTCCCAACCCAATAAATAGCATCTTCAAGTGGAGCTTGAGAAGATAACGGCAATGCTCTAATCTCATTAACAACTTCGACGGGAAGCCAATTCATTAACATCTCCACATCCCATTCCTTACTAGGTGTAATGGCTCTTGCCACTATCATGGTTAAAAACTCCTCAGAAACTGGCCCCACGATATAACTTCTCAAGGGAGAGTCACCAACCCAAACATCTTGCCAAAAATTAATGTGATCACCCGTGCCTACCCTCTAACAAGTGCCTAGACTAAGTACATCCCTGCATCTTAAAATGCATTTCCAAGTGGGTGAGGATTTTTGTGCAATCTCCACATTCAGCAAGTTGTCTCGCTTTAAGTATTTGGAATTAAATGTAGCACACCAAGGCAGACTTGCATTATTAAGCAATTTCTAGCCAAGTTTGGCCATAAGTGCTTTATTACTCTCCCATGCGGATCGGAGACCAAGTCCACCAGCATCCTTACTCTGGCATACTGTTTCCCAGCTTACTAAATGTGGTTTCTTCGAGATTAAATCTGAACCCCAAAGGAATTGTCTATTAAGACGATCAATTGCTTCGCATGTTGATTTTGGCAAGAGAATTGTTTGCATCACATATGACGGAATTGCAGAAGTAACAGCTTGAACCAGTGTCCTTCTTCCAGCAAGACTTAAAGTAGCTTTTTTCCACCCCTGCAACTTCGCTTGCATCTTCTCGAGGATGTATCCATAATCCTTCGGAGATTTCCCTTTATGTAAGATTGGTACACCTAAGTAGGTACCAAGATTAGCAGAAAGTGGAATGTTACATCTCTCACTTAGATAATTGGCTACTGCAGGTTGAATATTTGGGGATAAAAAAAACTTGGATTTCTGTAAATTAATATTCAACCCAGAACTGACCGCAAAGTTTTTGAGGCAATCCATTATGAAGTCCAACTGTTGATGGGAAGCATATGCAAAGAGCATCAGATCATCGGCAAAGAAAAGATGTGAGACTTCATAACCCCCTCGAGAAATCCTAAAAGGCTTCCAATGATTGTCCATAACTTGCTTCTGTATCAAAAGGCCAAGCTTCTCCATAACCATGATGAACAAATATGGAGAAAGAGGATCTCCTTGTCGAAGTCCCCTTTGTGGTGAGAAATAAGGCAAAGGTTCTCCATTCCAAAGCACTGAAAGCTGGACCGAGGAAACTGAGAACATTATAAGTTCAATTAGAACAGTTGGAAGGTTGAAGTCTTGAAGAACTAATCGTAAGAAGGTCCAATCTACACTGTCAAATGCTTTGTGCAAATCGATTTTCAGAACCATGGTGCCTCTACCTCCTCGCAATTGTTGCATTGAGTGGACCACCTCTTGGGTCAAAATAATCTTGTCAGTGGTACTCCTTCCTGACAAGAAGCTACTCTGCTGGGGTCCAATTAACTCTTGCAGATAAGGCCGCAAGCGATTAACAAGAACTTTTGAGAGCACCTTATAAGCCACATTCAACAAACTGATTGGGCGAAATTTTTGTATAGTGTCCAGACTATGCTCTTTTGGTATCAAGACAACATGCGCCTTGGCAAGATCCGGATCAAAATAACCATTAGATAAGGCTTTATTAACAAAATCCAAGAAAGTACCTTTCACAGTATCCCAGTTCCTTTGGTAGAACAACGCCTGTATACCATCAGGTCCTGGGCTTTTCAAGCCCTTCATTGAAAAAAGAGCAATCCGCACTTCTTCCTCTGTAGCTGGCTTGATGAGGGTGGGGTGCTCAGAAGCATCAATAGATGGGTGGGAAACTGAAGCAAGAGGGACAGGGTTCGTAGAACTAGACCTTGAGAAAAGTTGGACAAAGAAGTTAAGAACATGGTTTTTTAGAATTTGCGGCTCCTCAATCCAGACTCCATCAATTTTCAAAGCCCCAACCTTGTTTCTACACCTCTGAGTGATAGTGGACAGATGATAAAAGGTGGTATTCCTATCACTAGAGGCGATCCACTCCACCCTTGATTTTTGGAACCACAAGACTTCCTCCTCAAACAAAACCTGCTGGTAATCACTCAACAACTTCTTTTCTAAAGTTTGTAAATTAAGGGAATAGTCATACCGCGGGGAATTTTGCAAGCCAACTAATCGAGCCTGTAACAATCTTTTCTTTCTAAAAATATCCCCAAATGATTCTTTACCCCACACAAAGCAAGCATCACTAGTGGAAGAGATGGCTTGTTTTATATCCGTGGGGTGCTGAGTCCAAGCTCGAGAGAACACAATTGGAAACTCTTCCCTAGTTAACCACACAGCCTCAAATCTCCTAGGCTTGTGATGTGGGACCAAAGAAGCAGCTGTATCTAAGTTTAGAAGAATTGGGTGGTGATCACTACTAGTCTGTGGTAAGTTAAAAAGTTTAGCACCTTGAAATTCTGCTTTAGCTTGGACATTGAAGAGAGCTCGATCAAGCCGTTCCCGTAAGGTAACTCGCCCCTGTTGTATATGGCACCATGTGTATTTACACCCTAAGGCTTCCTCAGATATCAAGTTGCACCGATCCAGTATTTCATTGAGGTGCTGAGCCCGACGAAATATGGATGAGTGATGAGGAAACACTTCATCAGAGGAAAGAACATCATTCAAATCACCCATCACCACCCAACTAGAAGAAATTGAAGCACTTCTTGACTCCATATCAGTCCAGAATGCCTCTTTGTAATTACACTGAGGTCGAACGTACACTAAAGAGAGAAGCCAGTCTCCTAAACCATTGTTAACTGTGCAGTGGATGGCTTGAGGTGAGGATGAAAAAACATGTAAATTAGCTATAGAAGATTTCCAAAACAACCATAGTCCGCCAACAAACCCAGACGACAGGACTTGGAACTGTTTATCATAGCCAAAATGCAACATAAATTGCATGGCCCGTGACGATGAATCCGCTTTGGTCTCTAAAAAGCATATTACATCAGGCTTTTGCACTCTTAACATCTCTTTACAATCTCTCCGAAAGGAGGAGTTATTAACTCCTCTACAATTCCATGTCAAAATCTTCATTAAGAAGAGGATATAGGATTTTGCAATGCCTGTAGAGGCGACTTAGATTCTGAACCAGTAGTAGTACTGGATGTCGAGATATCAGTTTGGGGTGCCATGTTAGGAGTTGGAGAAACAGCAATAATATTTCCTGGACCATGTTCCGCATTCTCACCCAAGTTAAGTGATGACTGATCAATTGAAATCCCAGCTGATGGCTGATTGTTCGAAGGAGGCTGACGGAGACAGGTCTGGGCAACCCTACAAGGCTCCTGTCCCTTTTCCAACACATGGTTAGCGACAGTTGGGGGTGGGGTAGACAGTTTGCGTGTGAGCGGGGCATAAGGTTTAGCTGCAACATGTTTTGGGGGCTTAGGAACAGGGCCAATTGTCACCTTCTCTTTTTGCTTCTTCTTGAATGAAGCTTTAGGCTGAGAGCGAGATGGTCCAACTGGAGTGGGGGATTGGGTAATGGGTTGTTCTTGACTTGGTGACTCGCAAGGCATGACTTCCATGTTCAACTTGTCGCCTTTAGGATCATTCAAACTTAAATTAACTTCATCATTTGCCGCCATATTTAGCGAAATTTTCTCAACGGTCATTAGTTCATCACTCCTCTCTTGGGATTCTTTTTCCATATTGGAAATAACTGCAAATCTATTGCCCATCAATGGCTCAGTGATTTCTGCTGACTTCCTCTGTACACTCTTAGTTAATGGTTTTCGGGGTTTTTGGTTAATTATCATCCATGGTCCGTAGGGTTCGGAAAGAGTAGCTGAGGTTGTGGGACGTGTATGGGCGTGGTGTTGTTGAATTCCAGTTATCGGCTGGGTGGTTTCTGTCACTGGCTGTGCCTGCTGATAATAGCATGAATCTTTTTTGTGCTCAAACTCCCCACAATGAAAGCAAATGTTATTTAGATCATACGCAACCGTAAGAAACATGGAATTCGAATCAACACCATCATTGAAATCCACCATAGAAGCCAATGGTTCTGCCAAATTAACCTCCACACAGACCTTAGCATATTGGCCTCGAGTGGCTAAAAGGGTTGTTTCATCCACAAAGATCGTGCGACCCACTTTGTTCCCCAGCAATCGTAATATAGGTTCTTGATAATACTCTGTGGGAAGCTCCGGAAAGTGTACCCAGATAGCTGTTTTTGGTGCTTTCGCATGCGAAGGACGGAAGTTCGGCTGCCACGGTTGCACAGCGAGATAATGACCAAAGATTTTCCAAGGACCTCCAGTAAAATACGATTGCGATCATCCAAAGAAGCAAATTTCACTGTGTAAAAACCCAATCCAAGATCAATTAAATCGAACTCACTTTCAGTTCTCCATAATGCTTCCAACCGGGCACATAAAAGCTTATAGTTGATAGTTTTCCCCAGTAATTTGATAATTACCGTGTTCTGCCAATTGCTCCGCAGTCTCATCGTGATCTCTGGACTAAGCCGGACAGAGGGGATCTTGGGACCGTGGTCCTGCGAAGGATTATCTTCCACCATAGCCATAGATGGGTTAATGGCCTCAAGCTCCTCATAAGTAACAAGTGGGTGGTCCTGTCGTGACGTTGCACCAAGCAGGGTATCTCTAAAGCTCTGTGGAGTTTTAACAGATGGATGCGACTCAACTTGGGGGGTTTCTGCCGGTAGTCGTTGTTGGGTGGGCCCTGGTTGTATAGGCACAGGTTTTGGTGGAGCAGTAGGGTCCTTGATGCGGTGCGTACTCCGTTCAAGGGCGTCATGTTCTTCCGATGAGGGAGGGAGGTCGGCTGCAGGGGGGGAGCTCATGGATTTCCAAATCCCTAATTTCTCGTGAAAGGGGGGGAGAGAAGAATGGTGACGTGAGGGTTGTACAAGGCTAGTTGTTTTAATTTCATATCTTAGTGAGAATAATGCACTTTCACTATTCGGCTCGTGCTGCCTTGAGAAAGGCACGGGGTTCGACCCCAAATGTTGAGGTGTACTGTGTACAGAAACGAACAAAGGATACCATAACTGTATAATTTTGAAAGAAGATAGTTAAATATCAATTTTGGTCCCTAAATTTTAAAGTTTTGCATAGTTTTCACCTTAAAATTTTTTTATGCTTTTTTTGGTCCTAACTATAAAAAAATGTATTTTTTTAACTATTTTATTAGTTAATTTATTATATCTATTTATATATGTATATTTTTAGTTCATAAACTTTTAAATTGAAGGACAAAAAATGTTCATATATTATAAATTGAGGAATTAAAAATATGAACATGTAGATAAACCTAATGGACCAACTTATAGTAGAATTAAAAAATATATATTTTTCATAATTGAAGGACCAAAAAAGTAAATAAAAAAGTAAGAGATGAAAACTATACAAAATTTTAAAGTTAAAGGACCAAAATTAATATTTAACTAAAAAAAAACTCATGCTAGTTGTCACCTTCCTGGTTGTTATTTGTAGCTCGCAAATACAAATTATATTACGTCAAATCGTTGCATGTACTAAACTTCAAAGAAATTAATTTTTTAAAATATATCAAGTCATTAAAAAAAATGTAGTTTTAAAATCATTTAAGGCACATGAAACCTATTCTTGCCAATATATATATATATATAGGAACTCAAGTCAAATTCTTTCTTAATGATTTTGATATGAGAAAAGATCAAAATTAAATTCAAACCATTGCTATAGGTTAACTATAACAAAAAAGTACTATTATTCATCTCAAAAACCGATAAATAGTAATAGAAAAGTTTAACAATACTTTGTCACGATGATTGGTCGATTAAATGGAGGCAGCGATTTATGTTAGAGAAATAGTAGGTTTGGATCACAATGGTACATAACATGCTGCAGAACCACATATATAACAATCATGGATGTAACTCATAATTTTGTTTTAATCATGAAAGAAGTTCCATTGAGGGAGTTATGGCATAAAAATATACTAGTATTATGTTAATGCTAACAGCAAAGATTGGATTTTATTTGGTTGGTTGATTTCACCATTTGCACTCATAAGAAATAAATAAAAAAAAAAAAGGGTTAACCCTAAGTTATAAAGAAAAAATATTCATCAACCGAATTTTTAAGAAATTGAGGAAACACATCTTAAAGCTATTAGTTTTAATGAATTATTATTA